AGCGGAGGCTACCGGGAGGTGGGGGAGTTGCCTTGGCACTGGGAGCGGGGTTGGGGTGGGGGGTGACAGGGACACGCGTGGGGCGGCACATGGCGCTGTGCTGCAGGGCCCTGGGCAGCGGTGGGGGAGAAGGGAAAGGAAAGAAGAAAATGGAAAGGGAAAATGGAAAGGGAAAATGGAATGGGAAAATGGAAAGGGAAAATAGAAAGGGAAAATAGAAAGGGAAAGGGAAAATGAAAAGGGGAAGGCAAAATGGAAAGGGAAAGGGAAAGAAGGGAAAGGGAAAGAAGGGAAAGAAGGGAAAGGGGAAGGGGAAGGGGAAGGGGAAGGGGAAGGGGAAGGGGAAGGGAGGAAGGCAGAAAGAAGAGGGGACACGAGCCGGGTTTAGGCCACCGGGCGGGCTGGGGCTCCGGGTCCTTCCCGGGCCCGTTTCCAGCCGGCCTCGGCCCCGGCCCCAGCCCCGCCGAACCGGGATCCCCACACCGAGGGGCGGCGGGCAGCGCCGGCTGAAGCGACTCGGGAATTTCCAGGCCGGGATGAGCCGGTTTTCCCAGCTTTATTGAACAGACCGAAAAGAAAGAAAAATAAAATCCATAGTTCCCCGCGAGTGGGCCCACCAGCCTCGCGTGGGCTGCTCGGTCTCCGGTCACCGCCGGGCTCCAGGCGGCTCTCACGGCCCAGGGTCGTCCGGGCGGGCCTGGGAGCGCCGGTGGGGGCGAGCGGCGGGGGGACAGCAGGTCCCTGCTCTCCTGGGGACGGGAGCCGCCGGCCGGTGCTCGGGGTGTCACCGGCCACCCAGCTTCGCAGTGAATAATTCAGCAAAAATTAACGTCCCGTCCAAACTTAGTGCATTTAACCCAACCTATCCCATCCATCCCATTCCAACCATCCCATCCCATTCACACCCCCATTCCATCCCATCCCAACCATCCGATCCATCCCAACCATCCCATCCCAACCACTCCATCCCATTCATCCCCTCCACCCCATCCCATCCCATCCCGCCCCTGGGGAAGTCGGTGAAGCGCCCGATTCAATAAAATAAAGCCCCGCAAATTTCCTGGACGCGGGCGCAGGGCGGTCACCCGTGGAGCAGAGGATGGACCGGGGGGGAGTCGTGGTCGCCCCTCAGCGCTTTTTCTGCCCCCGTAACCCCTTTATACAGCGGTCCAGCCCGCTGGAGCCGGGACGGGCCCGGCCGAGCCGGGATGTAGGAGGAACCCGCTCCCCCGCCTCGGTCCGTGCCCCGCTCCCGGTTCTCACCCCCGGTGCGTCCCTACCGGGAGGGTCCGCGGGCCGTGAGCAAGACCCCGAAACCGGGAGGGAACCGCGTCCCGGGGGCTCCGGTGGGGATGCGAAGTCCCCGATATCCACGTGGGCTGGGGGGGGCGGAATTCCAGGCAGGTAACGGGACATGGAGCCGGGCAGGGATGGGCAGGGGGGGGC